TTTTTATAAAAAAATAAATACATTTCTGCGCTTGTTCCCCTCCTCATTCTTCCTTCTGGCACGGCAGCCGTGCTCCTCTGCATCCCATTCTAGTTGCCATTGCGTCCTCTGCACGTCACTCCACGCAGAAGCCACCCTCACCTTCCTTATAGCTACGTGTACCCGCGCAGGGAGACGTGCTGCCGTTTATTCCGCCCCTCTCTTCCTGATGGCATTTGGTGATCTCCAGTATTTTGCCGTCTTAGAGTCCAGCAGTTAGTGACCTTGTGCCTCTGATTCTAGAGGTAGGATTACAGGCTCAAAGGCTTCTGGGATTGTCTTCATCTGTCTGTCTTCTGTTGGTTTAACAAAAGCATGAGCTTGTCCCTGAGGCTGAGTAACGTGGAAGGAAAAGGGTCCTTCGGCCCACCGTGCTGGAGGCTGAAAGTTGGAGCTCACGTGGCCCCCTCAGCCCAGCCCCTGGCTGCTGCGTCCATCGCGGCGGATGGAGCCATCGTGGCAGGAGTGCCCCAAGGGTGGGGGAGTCGTCCCATGGTGAGGCAGGAAGCCAGGGGGATTCAGAACCAGGCTAGCTCTTTCTGTAAGAGCTAACCCTGAGAGCTCGTTCACCCCGTAAGACCAGAATTAATTCCGTCTCAGGGCAGGCAGGTGCCCAGTGGCCTCCAGCCATGTACTGAAGTATACACTGAAGTATCCACTGCACCGCACCCCGCCACTCACCGGGGTCCCAGCCCAGCCCAGGAGCCTGCCCACCTCTAGGCCATGGCCGTGGCCTGACCTGCGCCGTCACCCCCTCTGCTTGGCCAGGCCCCGCCCCTTCGTCTGTCACCCATCTGTCTGTGCCTCAGTGGCCTCAGTGGCCTTGCCCTCAGGATGGCTGTCCACGTGCAGGACTTCATAACTGCTGAACATGGAGCTGGCTTCAGTGTGTGCAGCTGAGCCCCTGCTTTTGGTCTTCCTTTCCCTACTACCTCCTATCCATTCTTTCCTGCTTTTCTCTTGGGCTCTTGGTCTTGCTTGTCCTCTGTCTTTTAAGAGCTCTTTGATTATTAGAGAGGTTAACCTTTGTCTATGATATAAGCTGCAAACAGGTTTCCCTGCTTTGACATTTGTCTTTGTACTTTGCTTGTGGTGGGCTTTACTATGTAAAAGTTCTTTTTTTCCCATAGTGGAGGGTGCCGGTTTTTTGTTTGTAGGTTTGTCAGTCTTGGGAGAAGGGCTCTCTTCCCTCCTCCCTCATGGCGAGATTCAGAGGTGCCTTCTTCTGGGACTTGGGGGTTTCACTGTGACGTGAGATTTTTGGGCTCTTTGCAGTGAGTGTATCCGGCTGTGGCCGCGAAGTGTGGAGCAGGTGTTCTCTTGTTTCAGATGTCTATCTAGCTGGCCCAGGGCCGTGTATTAAAAAGTCTGTGTGTCCCCAGCGACTTGGGATAAAACAGTCTTTCTGAACCCACAGGTTTACCTCTGGATTAGACCAGAGGCTGGCAAACCCTTCTTGTTAAGCCTGGAGAGTAAACATTTTAGGCTTTCTGGGCCACATATGGTCCCATTTTCTTCCCATTTTTAAAAAGTAACTTTAAAAAATGCAGAAAGCATTCACGGGCTGTCGCAGGTGGAGGTGTGTGCTGGCCCGAGCTTCCCTGTCCACGACGTCCAGGCTGAGGTGTCCCAGCCATCCCCATTTCTGGCCAGCCAGCCAGGGCCATGTGGCTGTCTCCTGTAGGACTTTCCTGGGTGTCCCTGCTCATTTCATTTCCCGCAGAATCTCGCTGGCGTCCCTGTCCTGCAGTGCAGCTGGCCGGCCCGCGGGGCACGTACCCTCACGTCTGCAGCTAATGTTGTGTGTGTGTGTGGGGGGGGGGCGCTGCCAGGAGCACACCCCAGAGGCGCCCATTTCTACCTTTCTGAGGAGTCTCCAGGTTTACCACCTCCGGGCTTTGCTGCTCTTTTCTAATTAATTCAGCTTTGTTTGTCATTACTGTTTTCTTCTCTTCCCTGTTGTTTTAATACTCTTTCTTGTTATCTGCCTGGTTTTTGTGGACTGTGCAGTCCATTCATCTGTTCTTCTGTCCCCGCAGGCACAGGGGTCAGGGTGCCGAGGCCCCGATGACCGCTTTGTGTTCTGTTGGCCCTGAAGAGTCGCCTTTGCATCGTGCTCACTTGGGGGAAGTCTTTTGGCTTCTGACGTAGTTGATTATGAGTAAGTGGCGATATTGTTTTCAAAATTTTGTTGCCGATTCCTGGTTCATGGTAACATGATCAGAGGATGTTGCTTGAATCAATCATCCCTGCTTTCCAGAGTGCACATAGGTTTCCCTCGTGAGCTGATCCGCTGCCGCTTTTTATGACTGTTGCGGGTGTACTTGCAGGGATGTGGTCCCTGTTGTTGGGGTGTGGCGCTCTGTGTCCTCACTTGCTCCCATGTGGATCCGCCTGGGGCTTGCTCCCCATCACCGCTGTGTTCCCCTGCCCCGCTCCGCTGGGCCTCGTTGGCTTGGGGGTCCCTGGTCTGCTTGGCACCTAGGTCTTCACAGCTGCTCCACAACTTAAAAATGTCATTGTTTTTTTTCTTCCTGAATCTGGGGATTGAACCCACAGCCTTTGCGCTGTGCTACATCCCCAGCCCTTCTATGTTTTTCACTTTTAGACAGGGTCTTGCCAAGTTACTGGGCATGAACTTGTGATCCTCCTCCCGCCTCGGCCTCCCCGGGTGCTGGGATGATGGTCGTGTAGCACTGCGCAGGCAGGATGTTGTAAGGTCCCTTCCTTTGGTGCAAGTGAGAAGTGGGAGAGAGGTAAAGAGAAGCTGTGTTGTCAGTGCTGAGGGCTGCAAAGGGGAGCGAGAACCCTTGGGGAGGAGGCCGGGACACCAAGAGCTTATCAGGTGAGTTGGGAGTGGGGTTCGCGCCCGCGGCACACTGATGTAGCAGGTGCTGATTGGGAAGGCGTGGTCCTTGAAAAACAAAAGAGGACGTTGGAGTTAACCAGTTCGAAAGGGAAGGTGGAAGTCAGACTAGGAGTAGTCCGCCCTCAGCTTAGGGTCCCCGCGCTGTGCTGGCTCCTTGCCATGGTGACCCGGCAGCCTTCCTACGGGCACAGACCTCTCAGAGGCTAGTGTTGGGAAGTGTACCATCCACTGGGGTTGTGGATGCTGGCACAGGGAAGGTGATGCTTGAGAGTGGCGAAGGCAAGGTGATGGTTAGGCGTGGGCAGGAGTGTCCACCACACGTGGCCCTGGATAAGTGGCTGATTGAAGAGTTTGCCGGGGCGGTGAGTGTGGGAAAGAGGGAGCGCTGTTCTCAGCTGAGGGTGCTTGGCATCATCCGCACTTGTGATCACGTGGGGGCTGCAGGGGCGCTGCTTGGGCAGCGCTTTTGGTGGACACAGGCAGCTTGGTCTCAGAAGAGTGGAGGCCTCACTAGGGGAGGACATGACTGCCACACCAGGCAGTCCTTGCTGTCTGCCCTTTGGCAGGGCCAGGCGCAGCCTGTGGTCACAGAGGCCCTGTGTGTGCCAGTCTCCTGGCTATCAATACAGGGCCTAGAGTGCGGAGGGAGCCACAGTGGTGTGGAAGGGCCCAGGTGGGGTGGAGCAGGCACCTGCCAGTGGGATCCTGGGGAGAGCTGGCAGGGCGAAGATAGAGGGTCAAGATCAGGATGTTGACCTCGGGGTGCACTGGGGCTATGCTGGGTGGGTGAGGCCCAGGTAAGTGGAGAGCACCACCCGGTGTCACTGGGCTGGTCGTCATCTGCCACTGGGGTCTGCCCTGCGGGGGAGGGTGGTGCTGCTCCTTTGCCCATGGCCCATGCCACCTGCCTGTGGGTCACCCTCCTGTGCCAGGACCACCTGTGCCCGGGGGAGCCAGTGCAGTGCTCCACGGGATGTGTCTGGAGTGCTGGCCTTGGGGCTGGGCGGGGGGCCTGCGTCCTGCATGCCTTCCACTACCAGCTCCTCTGGGGGCCTGTGCCTCCTTCCTGCCTCTGTACCCCCTGAGATGCCCCTTTCAGCTGCCGCTGAGCCCCAGCTCTCCAGGGCCTCCATGCCTGCTGCCCCCTTCCAACTCTAGCTGTGGCCCTGACCCCAGCAGGAGGCCCTGTCGCTGTCCCCCAGTATAAGCACTGCCACCTGGGCTGGGGAGCAGGCAGGACATCATCTGTGGCCACACAGGCAGCTGAGCGGCTGTGGAGGGAGCTGTGGCCCAGCTCTGCACACCCTGGCTGGTGTGGTGAGCAGACTCTGCGCTGTGCCCTGCGGTGGGGCTGGGCCTCCTCTAAGGAGCCACTGGCCCCTTATTGACAGCATAGGAGAATGTTGTTTTGAATGTGTTTCCCAGCAGTGCGCTTCCCTGCACTTTACCTAGGGATGATTTCAGTGGCGTTTCCGTCAATTTAGAATGAACCATGTGTGCTTCAGACAGAGGAGGCAGGGGCTGCAGTTGGTCTGCAGCTCTTGGCCTCATAGGTAGGAGCCAGGAGCCCGAGGGCTGATGCTGTCTGTCTGTCCCTCTGTCCATCCATCCCCCTGCCTCTTCTCCACCTTAGGGCAGGTGGAGAGCCGGGGTTCTGTGTGGCAGGTTCAGAGCTCGGTCTGTGTGAGCTGTGCGTGTGTGTGTGTGTGTGTGTGTGTGTGTGTGTACACCTGTGCCCATGTGAACATGTCAGTTTGGACCGCAGATACCGACTTCGTTTCTCTGAACGTCCGTGTCCTGGGGTCGTGACTGGCCGGTGTCTTGTCAGGGCAGTGCTCCAGTCCCTCACAGGCTGTTTTAGCCAGAGTCCTCCTGCGGGAGTGAGCCGTGTGCATGGCGAGGCAGTGTGGCCTTCCAGACACACTTTTGGTTTGGTTAATTTGGGTGTTTCGTGGAGTTTTTGATGAATGTGTTTATTAACTGTCTCCATTACGGAAGCAAAAATTAGTAATTGTGGCCAGAGCAGGAATGTGCGAGCGTGAGGATGATGGATGACCCTAATTACTCCTAGCCCGGCCGGGCTCCTCCGCAGGGTCCCCCGGCTTGCAGCTGAGGTACACAGTGGGGCCTGGATTCCTGAAGCCGGGCGAGCAGCGCTGGTTCCTCCGCTACCTGGCTTCGCAGACGCTGCAGATCGACGTCTGGGACGGGGATTCCCTGCTCCTCGTCGGATCGGCCGGCGTCTCCATGAAAGTAATGGGCTCCCTGCCAGACAGAAGGGCTTGGTGCCGTGCCCCTGTGTCTAGCTGCCCTTGGCCTCTCTGGCCAGCAGTAACCGTCCTGGCCGCCCTCCCCGACTTGGCCTTGCCCTGTTCCTGCCCTTGACCTGGCGGCTGCCAAGCAGGCATACAGCAGATCTCTGCACCTTGCCGGCCTATGTGCGCCTGCACACTGCCCACCCTCCCTCCCTCCTTCCTGACCTGGTCAGGCTGCTGAGTGCTCCGCTCCTCCTGGGTGGGGCCGCGTGCAGCGTGATCCTGATGCTGCCTGGTGCTAAGCAGCGAGGCAGATGGTGGGCACGGCCTCAGCCCTCAGCCCTTGCCCTCCTTGGCCATCCCCTGGGAGGCTGGTGATCTCCTCCCACGCGGAGAGTCCTGTAGACCAGTGCTGGGCTGTTGGACACAGATGTGGGCAGGTGACGACAGTCACTCTGCGGACCTTGATTCTGTTCCATTTGCTGGCGGGCGCCATACTGAGCACCCCGCCGTTTGAGGGGTCTGTTTTCTTGGCCCTGAGGAGGCCTGGTGTCTTCTCTCCCTGGCCCCCTTCTGATGTCTTGAGGTTAAACGGCACTCCTCTTCCCACCTTGCTGTTAAAGCATTGTGGGTTCTAAGTCTCCTCCACCTTGGGTCCCCTCTGGTACCTGGGGTCCCTCGCTGTCACGCCCACCCACTCCCACCTCCATGGCCCTTCTTGGTGGGTGGGAAGCTGGCCCTGTCCACCTGCAGGGCCACCTGGACATGGGCCAAGGTCACATGAGCGTATTCCCCTTCGCAGCACCTTCCCCGCCAAGGCCGGCCGGCCGTGCAGGTTCTCCACGAGCTAGAGGTTGTGGCCACCGAGTACCAGCAGGACACGGTGGTGGGGAGCGGAGACCTGGCCAGGTTTGGCAGCGTCAAGCCCATCGGGGTCCACACACTGGTGAAGGGCCGGCTGCACCTGACTTTGGCCAACGTGGGTAAGTAGGGCGGCGGCAGGTCTCCCAGCTGGAGAGCAAGGACAGTGACGCCCTTGAGGGCAGCCAGCCAGTCAGCTTCACTTAGCTCAGCCCTGAGTGGAGAAACTGTGCCCCATGAGCACCAGGGCCTTGGTGCATGGTGCCCCCCTGTGGGCAGGCGTGGGGCGGGCTGGATCCCTCTGGGACTGTCCAGGACCCACAGCGGACTGAGGTGTCATGCCTAAGGCTGGATGCCGCTGCACCACTCGTGGTGGAGGGCCGACTCGGGACCCTGCAGGGCGTGTGGCACCCACTGCCCCTCCCTGGACGACACAGAAACATTCGGTGCTTTGGGGCAGACAGCATGGAAGATGCTGTGAGAGCGAGGCAGGGGGCTCTGGGGCCGTCTCTGTGCAGAGGACTTGGCGGGCTGTCATCTTACCGGGAGGTTTCCATTCCCTGAACTCTGCCGCTCTCAACCCTGGAGCCCCGCTGGGCCATGTCCCCCGGTGGGGCGGGCGCAGCGCAGGGCGGTGGGTAGGGCTGCTCGCCCCCGTGGAGGAGCAGCGCGCGGCTCATTAAATCCGGCCTGAGGTTCTGCCTGCTTGTTTACAAATGTAAAATCCGAGGCAGCCACAAAACAGACAATATGGAAACAGCAAAACTCAATTAGGTTAGAAGAAATAAATGCGTGAGGGACGGCTGTCCTTGTGAGCCGTGTGCCGGGAGCCCTGCTCCCTGGGCCGTGGCGGTGATTTTGTACTTACTGCACCACCCCACATATGTGCAGTGACTCCAGGTCTGAAAATCTTATCTTCAGAAGAAAGATGGGCCCTGTTCTATGTTATCTTAAATTATCATTTTCATACTTTGCCTGCAAGAGCAAGATAAGCCTGCGGGGGGCAGAGGCTGAGGCAGGCAGCGCCTGGGATGCCGTGCAGCGGAGAGGAGAGGGCTCCCAGGATCGGTGCCGCGCCGCGCTTGTGCTTCCTTTGCAAATGCTGCACTTTTTGAGGAAAAAAAAAAGCTGTGGCCTTTATTTCTCTATCCACCTTGAATGTGGCACAGTGGCGTGTGTGGGGTGCCGGTCGTAGAGTTGCACCCAGCTACGTTCCCACCAGCTCTGCCTGGGCTCTCCTGTTTTCTTCTGGCTGTCTGCACGGTGATTAGCCTCCGCTGCCCCGTCCCGCTGTGGTTATGATTTAGGCTGATGGGTCAGCTGGGTGCTCACTGTTGCTTCCACAGCCGCTGTTCCGGGAAGCAGGGAAGGGCTGGTGGTTTCAGCCCAGAGTGGCTGGCTCCAGGGCGTGGCAGGGAAGTGTCGCAGGAGAGACAGTTCGCGGGGGCAGAAGGCAGCAGAGCAGCCAGGGCTGACTGCAGCTCGTCCTGCCCCTCACATCTCATCCAGGCGGCTTTGGGGAGCACTCAGGCCCTTGGTTTGAGTCCAGTGCTGCACCATGCATCCATCCCAGCATCACAAACCTGGATGCAGCCAGCCCTGGAACAGCCCCCCGTGCCTGCGTGAGGCTTTAGGGGATACCCAGGCACAGCAGGACAGCCTTGGCCTCACCCCAGGGGAAGCAGCCTGCAGGACTGAAGCTGGGCTGTCTCAGCGAGGCTCAGCGCCTTGCCCTGCCCTCCGCTCCAGTGTGAGCAGGTCTGAGGCCTCATGGGGTCTCCCAGGCCTGGGCACTCTGAGCACCTCCTCACAAAGCCCAGCAGCGCCCCTCACCCACGAGGGCACCATGCAGTCCTGCCAGCCTCCCCTTCTGGGGTCCTTGGCCCTCCTGGAGCCCGAGCCCCCGTGGTGACAGGGAGCCGTTGGTGAGCCGATAAGGTGGCAGAGAAAGCTGCGTCAGGCCCTGGCTTCCCCAGCTCCCAGGTGTGGGTGGCGCCCGGCACGCCCATCTCTGTGCAGAGCTGCTGTAGGAAGATGGAGCTGTCACCCTGCTCGCAGGGCTGAGTGGAAGATGCACCCCACCTTTGCTGGCGTGTGGCTTGGGGACACTCAGTGCTGTGCCACCCTAAGAACCTCAGCCCTCCAGGCCTGGGGGACAGAGCTGCCTGTGCCCTGGCAGGCAGGAAGGGTGGGGAGCAGAGGGAGCTGAGGCGGGGCTTCTGCTGCTGAGACGCCAGGAAAAGCCCGGGACGCCCAGGCCTGCACGTGTTCCATGCCACCCTGGTGGGCTTGGGGGAAGTCGACAGCCCGTGTGCTCCTTCTGCAGCCCTGGTGTTCATCTCCGAGCGTGCTCTGCCCGGTCCGGGTGGCAGGCAGCCCATGGGGTACTGCCTTCTGGGTTCTTGTCGTTTTGCACGTTCCTGGGCATCACACTTGTCCATCTGTGGACAGCTGTGGCTGTGTGGCCTCTGCTCTGTGGGCGTGTTGTCCTGAGAGGCTGCCCTGCTGCCCGAGTTAGGCAAACAGCTAGGTGCCAGTTCCCACTCTCGAATGCGGTGCCCAGGCCTGACCTTGAACAGCACCCCCTGCTGGAGGAGACTGCGATTATCAGAGACCCAAGGGTACGTGGAACTGACTTCCTGCCAGCAGCTGGTGCAAACCTGGTGTGAAGGAGGTCAGGACAAACACACTGCTGCCTGCTGTTCTCTTGGCGAGGTGTATTCAGAGCAGCAAGGCAGGGACAGGGTCCCCGGTGGTCCCAGGTATTGACGGCACCCAGAGGTCAGGCCTCTTGGGGCATCTGAGCCCTGCGTCTGCGCCCCGGAGGCCTCAGGCCTCACACCAGGCACTTCTCACTCAGGTCACGCCTGTGAACGGAGAGCGACAGAGCCTGGCTCGCTGCCGCCGTCCCGATCTCGGGTCATCTCCAGTGATGGAGCCGGCCGCTTCCCTGGGGGCAGCCTCCTCACGCAGGGAGCCTTGAGACGTGAGTGGCACTGTGGCCCCACGCAGGTGGTAGTGAACTGTGTGTGGGGTGGGTGCATTGAGGAGGTGGAAGCCCACGTGTATGTGTGTGTGTGCGTGCATGTGTGTGGTACACAGCCCTCTGCCTCTAGGGTACCTGTGTCCTGCACTGGGCCCTGACAGTGGCTCTGTGGTCCCTCAGGCTGTGCACCCGAGTCCCTCCAGGCCTTCCCTGGCAGCCAGCTGTGTTGTCTCACAGGGTCATAGTCCTGTTGGTGACCTGGTGTTCCCTTCGGCTACCATGAGGAAGGGGAGCAAGGGAGAGGCCAGGGTGGATGTGGACCGATTGTCAGATGTGACTTTGAAGCTCTGTTGGTGTCCTAACCAGTTCCCGGGCTCCGGGAGGGAAAACCTGGGTCTGGGAAGGAGGGCCTGACTGGGAGAAAGCTCTTCCCACCTCAGGACACACAAGCTTGCATCATCTGCATTGAGCCAGGAAGTGCCCTTCGAGTAGGGTTTCCCTCAAGGGTCACCTTGCTGGTGTGCGCCCAGGCTGCCTACCCTATGTTGTCTCTTGGCTGGGCCTTGGACCCACTGGCCTTGGGATCCTTGCCCCAGCCTGCCGGAGAGGGCAGGGCCTCCAGGACCCACACTTCTGGTCCTGGGAACTCTGGGAATGGGGTTTGCATGCTCGGCCGGTGCTGCAAGCCACTTGTGACCCAGGTGAGCTAGTGTGTTCTGGGCCGCAGCCTCCTCCTGGTGTCAAATAAAAGTGGGTAGAGGGAGTTAAGGTGACCTAGAGTAGTGTGGGGAAGGGGTGGGCATGGACCAGAACCTGGGTCCCCAAGGGCAGAAAGGTGTGGTCTGGGGTTGCAGGTTGGGGCTCAGTGACCAGGAGCTGGCCTGCCAAAGACCCGCTGAGAGGAGGAGCGGCCTGGAGCCCCTTGGAGAAGCAAGCTGGAGGTATTCTCCAGAGAGCAGGGTGCACAGGCTCTGGGGAGTGGACATTCTGCAGTGTTAGGAAGGCCCAGTGCCTACTGCTTCTCTGTGGGCGTGGGGACCCAGGAGAGGCATTTGTGGGGGTGACGCTGTGGATACTTGTGCTCATCCTGAGCCCCCAGGCCCTGTGTGGAGCTGAGGCATGGGTGTCTCAAACCTGCTTCCCAACACTACAAAATGCTCTTCTTGGGAAGTGACTAAAGACCTCTAAACCAGCTCCTGGCATCAAAAAAGCAATTTAGTGGCCTAAAAGTGGAGTTGTGGCTGGATCCTGGAGGTGGCACTTGTGTCCTTGTGGTGGAGGCAGAGGGGAGGCCTCCCCTGCTGACTGGAAGTGGAGCTGGCCCGGCCAGGGGTCGTGGTTTCCCACAGGAAACTGGTGGTGATGCCAGAGTTGGTGGGGGGACCCAGGGGCAAGGCTGGGGTGCTGTCACTGCCTGGCCTGGCTGACTGTCACCTCCAGGTGAGGTGTTGTCACTGAACACAGTCCTTACAGCCCCGCTGTGTGGGTGGAGGGGACAAATGAGGGGCTGGCAGGGCATGGTGGTGCCATGGAGCTCAGACTCCTGTCACCACCTTCCTCGGCTCTTGGGGTCACCCGGAGCAGAACTGCCGGGAGAAGTGGGGCTGGTGTCCTTGAGAGGGGGCCCTGGGAGCTGGTCCACAAGCAGGGTGTGGGTGCCACCCCAACCCAGCCCCTCCTCTGACCCTCTCAGCAGGGAGGAATGTGGTCCAGGCACAGAGGCTGGCCGACGTGGACAGCGAGCTGGCCGCCATGCTGCTGACCCCTGCGCCGGGCAGCCGGGGACCCCGGGGCAGTGCCTGCGAGGTGGACGCTGTGCGCAGGCGCAAGCTGGAGAGGATGAGGTCCGTGCGCCTGCAGGAGTCGGGAGCGGAGCCTGTGGGCCGCAGGACTGCGGTGCTGGTGAGGGCTCTGCCTTGCCCAGGCCTCTGGAGACCAGGTCCTCGAGAGCTGTCCCTTGTCCTCCACCCAGTCCTGGTGCCAGGAGAGGAGACGGCGGGATGTGAGCCCCACGATGAAGTCCTGAGCTCCAGGAGAAGCTGGTTGTGCCTGGCTGAAGCTGCGGGGTTCTGAGGCCCCACACTGAGCCCCAGCGTCTCAGGCTGTCCTGTAATCGCTCTGACCAGCAGGCTCCCTCCATTTGGCTGAAATCTGAATAGACGCTTTCATAGTCTGCAGCCAAAGAAAGTTAGGTGTAGTGGCACATGCTTATAATTCCCAGCCCTTTGGGAGGCTGAGGCAGGAGGATCACAAGTTTGAGCCCAGCTTGGGCAATTTAGCAACTTGATGAGATTTTGTCTCAAAATAAAAAATAAAGGGCTGGGAACGTCGCTCAGTGTAGAGGCCCTAGGTTCCAACCACAGAACTAGAAGGAAAAAAAAATAATGAGAGGAGAATGTTTTTGGCTGGGGGATTAAAAATTTTTTTTTTTTTTTTTTTAAATTTTAGGGAAGGGTCTACAAGGTGTTCAGGGTCTCACTACTAGATAGGACTCATAGTGATCTGCCTGTTCACAGCCTCCCAAGAGCTGGGATTATAGGCTTGTGCCACCACGCCCAGTCTCAATTGCTGTCTCAGTGCACCCTGGGGGCGGGGCCAGCACAGCACTCCCGAGGATCGAACTCCTGATCCCTGTGCCTGCTTGCAGGTGCTTTAATCCGCTGAGCTATTTGGCTGGCCCCTAGCTGGGGGTTTTAGAAGGAAGGTGATGCAGGGTGTTGACAGAGAGCCTTATATCAAGGCTGTCCCATGTGTGACCCAGCACCACTGCCCAAGTGGGGGAGCCCAGGCCCAGCAGAACACAGCAGTGAGCCTGCTGAGAGGGGGTCCTGAGAGTGTGTGGGGAGACCCCCATCTGCATGCACATCGGGCTGGGTGCCGTGTGGGCCTCCAGGTGGGAGGAGAGGCAGCCGCCTTCCCTACCGCTGTGCCAACTGTAGCCCTGGAGGTGGGTGGCCCAAACCCCAGCCACGCAGCCAGGCAGGGTGGTGGTGCTGGCTTTCCATAAGGCTCGCCAGGGTGCTCAGGGAGGGGCCTGGTGTCTGTAGGCCCAGCAGAGCACACGCATGCAGCACTCCCGGGACCTGCAGGTCATTGACGCCTACAGGGAGCGCACCAAGGCAGAGAGCATCGCCAGCGTGCTGAGGCTGGCCATCACCACACAGCACACACTCTACGCCTCGCTGGGCACAGCTGAGTTCTTTGAGTTCACCCTGAAGAACCCCCACAACACGCAGCACACGGTGTCTATAGAGATCGACAACCCCGAGCTCAGGTGTGCTGCTCTGCCCGACAGCGCCCCGCCCCCGCCTGGTGCTGTCTGCTCTGGGGTGGGCTGGCTGGCTCCTCACCATGCTTTCCTTCCACAGCCTCATCGTGGACAGTCGAGAGTGGAGGTTCTTCAAAGACACTGCCGGCCTGCACACTCCGCTCGAGGAGGACATGTTCCACCTGCGTGGTGATCTGGCCCCCCAGCTTTACCTGCGTCCCCGGGAGACCACCCACATACCCTTCAAGTACCAGAGCTTCTCCACGGGCCCGCTTGCTCCTGCACAGGTGCTGAGCCTGGGCACTGTCGGGAACCTCTGGCCCCCTCCTCGGTCTCACATGTCCCCCTTGTCACCAGTGTGCTCTCAGCCCCTGCGCATCACAGCCCTGATCCCTCTATCCCCCCAGCTGTGGGCACGGGTGCAGCAGTGACTCCTCCTTTTGTGAACCTGGGAAGAGCTAGGGTGAGACATCTGGTGTGTGACCCTCAGTCTTCATTTGCGGTCAGCCTGGGGTGCTGGGCACCTAGGCCTGGCGCACACAGGAGGGCCGGTTCCGGTGGCCGCACTCAGGCTGAGCTCCTGAGGTCCCACAGCCCTGTGGCTCTGGCTGGCTGCGTGGCTGGACCACAGGACAGAGCCGGACAGCAGACAGAGTGGAACCATGCTGGATCCATCCCTAGCATGTGGCCCCCACAGACTCTGGTTCCTGCTGCATGGGTGACAGGGAGACAGCTGCCCAGGAGCTGGCATGTGGGAGGACAGGTGTGATGCTCAGAAGCGCTGCACCTGGGTGCCCGGGCAGGGTCTCTGCTGCCTGTACCTTGTGACAGCTTGTGCTAACTGGTGTCTTGCAGGGCTCTGCAGAGCCGAGTGCTGAGAAGAGCGGGGATGCTGGAGCGCCTTGGAAGGCTAGCGCTGTGCCCACCAAACATGCCAAGGTGAAGAAGGGCGGGGTGCATCCGATTGCTCTGGGCCACGCTGTGAGCAGGTGCCCTCTGCGTGGCTCCGGGAGCATTTCCTAGTCTGTCCTGACCGCACCCGCTGTCTCTGTGTCTAGAGGAGGGATCTTGGCAGAGCTCAGGGCCTTGCTGGCGGCCTTCTCCCGTCCAGCAGGCCACTCCCGTCCTGAGCATCCTCGGCGGAGTCCAGGTGAGGGCGGCCTGCGCCCGGCAGCCCATCGCCAGGGGCCTCACATTATTTCACTTGTGCTTGGCCAGAGCTTCGCTCGGTGCTTGCCCAGGGAGCCCTGGCCACCCCTCCCGATCTCTGGAAGTTTTGGGAGAAACATTTTCCCTACCAGCTTAGGTAGCATGGGGGGAGAGAAGCCCCCAGCCCGCATGCTGTCCTGATGCCGGAGCGGCTCTGTCCTGTAGGTCCTGTTCCGAGCAGGTGGCGGCAAGCCCCTGGCTGTTCTCTGCCTGACGGTGGAGCCCCAGCCGCACGTGGTGGACCAGGTCTTCCGCTTCTATCACCCGGAGCTCACCTTCCTGAAGAAGGCCATCCGCCTGCCGCCCTGGCACACACTTCCAGGCAGGTACCCTGCTCCCCGTGGCCGGCCTTGCGGGGCTTGGCCCAGTGGGATAGTGTCTGTCTCTCCAGAGAGGCGAGAAGCGGAACGAAGCTGCCACCCCGCCAAGCGGGCCGTGGCCCCTGCCACCTGCCTTCATAGTTTGGCATGGGTGCCTCTTGACACCGCAGAGGTGGCAGGGTGCACATCTGGTGGCTGTCCCTGTCCTAAAGTCAGTCAAGCACGAGGCTCGTGTGGGGGCTGCAGCTTCCCCAGGCGGCTGCGCGCTTCGCAGCTCTGCCCTACAGTGAGGAGACATCTGTGCACTTGATGCCACTTCTGTTCCCTTGTCCTCCCCCACTGGGTGCCGTCCCTGTGTGTGCCGTGCTGGGTGGGGTGGTGGCATGGTCCCCGCTCCCTGTTCCAGGTGCCCCCGTGGGAAGACCTGGGCAGGAGCCGCCAGTGCATGTGCGGTGCAGCGACCCGAATGTCGTCTGTGAGGCCCAGCACGTGGTACGTCCCGACTGCCTGGGCAGGTCCTCCGGCGGCCCTCGCTGCTCCGACTTCGCCGGTGCCGGGCGGGGGGCACTGTGGTGGGCGCGCCCGGAGTGCCTGGCTTTCTCCGCCAGCAGAACAGCTCCCTGCTCTGCAGTGTGAAAGGCAGGAAGCAGTTGGCAACTAAGGCACTTAGTAACTGCCGTTGGGCTGAGGGTAACGGCAATAATTGTGTTACGACTGCTCAGGAAGCCAGATAGAATCTGTAGAATGTGGTTATTGAAATCGATGTAAAAGCAAGAAGCCGATGGTGTTCTCTCCCATGAACAAAAGAGGGCACGCTGCCGGTGCAGGCGCGGGTACACTGGTGGGGGGCCTACTGCCTGGGCTGTAGGGACCTGGGCCCGGACGCGGCCAGACCCCGTGAGAGGCGGCACTGGCACCAGCACTCCGTGTCTGTGTGCAGGGCCCCGGGGAGCCCCGGGATGTGTTTCTGAAGGTGGCCAGCGGTCCCAGCCCAGAGATCAAAGACTTCTTTGTCATCATTTATGTGTAAGTACACAGAACTCAGCGGAGCGGGCAGATGTGAGGGAGAGGCGGGAGGGGCAGGTGGAGGGGTCTGCCCTGTCCTGTTCTGCCCCATCACAGGGCAGGTGACCATGCCTTCTCTCTGGAGCCTGAGCCTGTGGCTCTCTGAAAGTCTGTGGCCACCACAGCCTGGAAAGCAGATCTCCAGCTCCACTCCAGGGTGACACGGGTGACCACAGGGCCTTGGGACTCACTGCACGCCTTCTAGTGGAGGGGTCAAGGTGGCGTGTGCCCAGCCAGAGCCCAGAGGACTTCAGCTGTCCCCTGAGCCTGGAGCTCCTGGAGAATCTGCAGCTGCTCCTGTGCCCCTGCCCAGGGTGATGCTCCCGGTGGCCCTGGAATTCTTTCTCCCCGTCCCCCACTCCCCAGCGCAGCCCTTTCACTTTTTCCTTGGAGCCCCTATTTCCCAGCCCTCTGAGGCCTTTAAAACTGGGGCCTGGAGATTTGCCACCTAGCTTCTGAGGATGGGAGGCAGTGTTCAGGAGGGAGGGCTGTGCTCCCTGACCCCTACCATGCCTCCTGCGGTGTCACTGAATGGGCCTGGGGCAGCCTTACCAGAATAGTATCCTCAGCGGCCCAGAGCATCTGGGGTGGTGCTGTGGCTGAGGCGGGCATGGATACTCACTCTCTGCACAGGGACCCCTGGCTGGCAGTGCCCGTGCAGACCTGGCAGGTCTGCCTCCACTCCTTGCAGCGGGTGGATGTCTCCTGTGTTGCGGGCCAGGTGACGCGCCTGTCCCTCGTGCTCCGGGGGACACAGATGGTTAGGAAAGTGAGGGCCTTCACCTCCCACCCCCAGGAGCTCAAGGTACAACTTCAGGGCCTTGGCCCTCGGCTGGCTTGTGAGGCGGGTGGGATGTGCTGCTGGGTTCATTCTGGCAACTGCTCTTCAGAGGGACTTGGGAACAAGGACATGGTGGGCAAGGGAGGGGAAGCCTCAGGTCTGGGCCCCAGCAAGCAGGCGGAGGAGCTGAACCCATGGCTTCTGCAGGGCGCGGGGCATGGGTGCAGGGGGGCTGCTGTGCAGTGGAGGTGTGTGCTGACTGCTCTCTTGCCCTTGAAGATGGACCCTGCAGGTGACTTCCTGCTGCCCCCTCATGGGGTTCAGGACCTACATGTGGGGGTGCGGCCCCACAGGGCCGGCAGCCGCTTTGTGCACCTCAACCTGGTTGACGTGGACTTCCACCAGCTGGTGGCCTGCTGGCTGCTGTGCCTCTCCTGCCGCCAGCCGCTCATTTCTAAGGTCTGTAAGGGGTATGTGAAGGTCGAGGACACCGGGGGTTGTTGCTGTGGGACTGATGATGGAGTCGCCATGTGTTACCCAGTTCTGTGACGCACACTGTCCTGATCAGGGCTCTATGTGTGGCTGGGGTGGGTGGCAGCTCTAAGGAGGTGTTCTGTCTCCCCTGGACAGCCCAAGGGCCCCTGTGCACCTAGACTGGCCTCAGCTCTCCTGCCCTCATCTCCAGGCCTTCGAGATCACCGTGGCAGTTGGGGAAGGCAAGGGCGCCAACAAGCGGATCACCTACACCAACCCCTACCCCGCCCGGAGGACCTTCCACCTGCACAGTGACCGCCCGGACCTGCTACAGTTCAGGGAGGATGCCTTCCAGGTGTGCGCTGGGCCATGCCAAGGGCTCTGGGTGCTCAAGCCCCCCGTCCTAGAGCCTCTGCCCTTCCCGGGGCTCAGACATGGCCTGCAAGTCCAGTGTGGAAGCCGATGCAGCTTTTCCCTGAGCTCTGGGCAGGAGCTGCCTCTGGTGGGTCTGGGCTGATACTGGGCACTGGACCTCAGGCAGCCCTGGGCTTCCTGAGGACCGTCGGTCACTGTGAGCATGTGCACCCCGTGCCACATTTCTGGGGGTGGCCAGCGAGGAGCGGGCCACGCAGGTGGGCGTTACTGGGCTCTGCATCCCTCCAGGTCGGCGGCGGCGAGACTTACACCCTTGGTCTGCGGTTCGCGCCAGGCGGGAGGCCGGGGCAGGAGGAGGTCCTGATCTACATCAATGACCATGAAGACAAGAACGAGGAGACCTTCTGTGTGAAGGTCACCTACCAGTGAGCGTGGGCACCGTGTTGCCCAGGCCCGAACCCGGCTGGCGGGGGAGGGTGCCACAGTTGTTCCCGTGATGCCCATGTCCAGCTGAGCTGCAGCCTGTACTGACCACATTCACAGGCCTGTCCCTAGGCCTGAGTGTGAGCCCTGGCAGGTGAGGGGCAAGGGCAGTGGCCGGGGTGGCCCTGCAGGAGAACCACTTCGTCCCTCTATAACACATGGAGGTCGTCACCATCTGTGACTTTGTTTTGATTTGTTTTTAGCAAAGTGTATTTTATAAATCATCCTAAGTAATAAAATTATATTTTTCTTACTGGATTTGCACAGACGGAATATATTATTTGCTACAGTGTTTGACAGCAGAGTCACTTTGCATTTGTCTTTAATAAGGTATTCAATGAAATGTGCACTTGCTGTGCCCCTCTGGCGGCACTCCCCAGTGTCTCCTGCTGCCGCGGGCCAGGAGCCCGGCCTCCCGAGGAGGAGGAGGAGGAGCCAAGAGCCCAGATGGGACAAGGTGGGGCAGGGGTGCTGGGGGCAGGCGGAGGTAGCCAGAGCCCAGGCAGTGTTAGCTGGGGAGCTCACGTCCCTGTGGATGTGCACAGGGACCAACTCTCCTCTCTTGGGAGACAGTCAGTGGTGGCTGTGGGCTCCCCACATCAGGGCACTGCCCTGAAGGGGACACTGGCTGGCTGGCCCTTGCATTGCAGGGAGAGGCCATGCACGGGAGTCGGTCAGATCTTGCAGGTCGAATTCTCCAGCCCTCACTAGAGGTCCTTCTTGGGAGGGGTTTGTGAGGCTCCAAAGTCCACTCAGGGTGCTGCCCAGCCTGCTGTTAGGGGAGTGGGAGTTCACCGGCACCGCCTGCCCTTCTGGTGCCGAGCTGGAGCCAGCAGGCCCTGTGGGGCTCATGGCCAGGTGGAGAGGGGGACCCTCGGGCCCAGGAGCAGCCATGCGGGGCCTCAGCCTCTTGGTGACTGAGGCTGGTGCCCATGACAGACTCCTGTGTGTGTTGTGATAAAGTGCCACTCACTCTGTCACTTGGACTTGCCCTGCAGGACAGCGTGGCACTGTGATGGCTGTGTGGGAGCGTTGTTACTGTCCTGATGAGGAGCAGGGAGCTGTGGCACCAAGGGAGCCTGTGCCCGGGCCTGGGGGGCAGGGAGCTGTGCTGCTCCAGGGCAGGCTGAGGACAGTGAGGTAGGAGGACACAAGGGTGTCATTTGAGCTGATGAGAGAGCCCCTAAGCCACAAGGGAGCAGTGGCCTAGCCCAAGTACCACCTTAGCTGGACCCTGCATCTGGCCAGGACTGGAGGGCGGGGTTCCTCCTGCGACAGGCATGGTCTGTGTCCCCAGAACTGGCCTTCCAGGTCGCCCCGGGTAGTGACCATGGGTGGCATTGAAGCATAATGGAGGAGCAGTGAGGTTTGGATGTGAACTTCTCTAGGCAGCTGACGGCGGGTGGAGCAGGGAAGGGGAGAGTAGCCTGGATGCTGGGGGGCCGAGGGCACCACCAGAGTGGGTGCTGGGCTGCTAGGGTGGGAGGGCACGTGTCAGGGTGGAGGCTCCTGAGGCTGCCCTGGCCCTGACCCCAGCCCTCAGTTTCTTCCCAGGCCTGAGCTTCCACCTGTCCTCTTGCTGGTCTCCCACCTAGCCGTGGCATCCTCACAGGGCAGGACCTGGCTCTGGGTACCATGCTCTCTGCTCTTGTGCTGGGGCGGGGCCTGCGAGTGAGGCTCGGCATCCTTTTGCCTTTGTACTGGAAGAGACATTGGGTAGGGGCTCTGCTCAGGGCACAGGACCCCAGCCTGGTGTGCTCAGGGCTGCAAAAGATGGTCCTGTCCCCTCCTGGTGGACCCCAATGTCCCCCAGGATGCTTGGAGTGGACTAGCTCTGTCGTTCTCTCAGGTGATTTACATGAGAAAGCAGCCTCAGGAAGCACCCCCTCTCCCTGCCTCCCTCTGCGGGGAGCCCGATAAGCTGGGCGAGCAGCTTTCTCCCTGCACTGAGCGGGGCCAGCTTTCAAAGGAGCCTTATCTTCCCCATCAAGGGCGCTTCCGGTGTAGTATTTTATTTCCGCCCTCCTCCCGCCCTGCGAAAAGCTGTGTTTAGCTAAATGGAGTGAAATGAAAGCCAAAGGAGCTGCTTTGCTTTCTCACATCTGATGTGATTTAATGCTGTTTGTCTCCATTTAGAAATAAATTAAGGCACTTTAAAAAAATTGTTATTCTAGGGTACAAGAGGCTGGGAAAGCAGTCATTATGTGTTCCTAATAGTGCTTTCCTTCCCAGTAACTGGCGGAGGTGCTGAGCTCTGACCCAGTGACCCAGGGGGCGGGAGTAGGTGGCTTGTGTCTGCTGTGGCCTCAGTGCAGGGGGACTGCATGGTTCTCTAAGTAGCTGGGCAGAGGCAGAACGTGGGCACCCCTCCTGCCCAGGAAGGGGCCAGAGCCCCACCTGCAGTGGAAATCTTAGCAGGGCGATCTGCTGGTGACCACATCTGAGCTGGGCTCAGGAGCCCTCGTGAGCCCAGACAGCTCTCTCCATGCCCAGGTGCCAGCCTGGACCAGCTGCCTGTGTTCCCATGATTCCCTGGTCTTGCCGAAACTGTTAATGGAGTTTTGGAAGCTGCCTGCAAGTTGGAGTATCAGTGACGGAGGAAGAGTCGTCCCATCCCCCTTCTGCAGGTGTTGATTAGGGTTCCCCCTAATGTGTGCCTACTCAGAACCCCAGAATGTGACTGCCTTAGTTATTTTCTCTTTGCTGGGACAAAATACCCAGTGCCCACAAGTTAAAAGAGGAAAAGTTTATTCTCGCTCAAAAAAAGTTTGTGGAGATTTTGGTCCATTTGTTGGCTGGTGCGAAGGCAGGGCAGCCTGGGAAAGAGGCAGAGCAGTGGAAACAGCCCGGGCCAGGGCAGGCAGGGAGCAGCGAGCCTTCCTTCTCTTTTTATGTTATTCAGACTCTGGGCCCATTGGTTGGTGCCACCCTTGGCCAGGCTGGGCCTTCCCATGACGCCCTCACGGAACTAGCGGCTATGAGTCTGGGTTGCTGAGGCCAGGAGCCATCCGAAGCTGCGACACAAAGAGCTAAGAGGTGTTGGCACTCAAAGCTTACAGCTGTGACACTCAGGGTGCCAACCGTTGGAGCCCGAAGCTTGGAGCCCCTAACATGAGGGAGTTGCGCTTGGCCAATTCATGCTTTCTGTCTGAATTCAGGAACAAAAGAATCCTAGGTGATCTGATGCGCGGGGCAGATGCGGCTGGAGAGAAACTGCTTCGGCGCTTTCTCAGAGCCTCCAGAGGGACCCAGCCCTGCACCCCTCAGTCTGGGACAAATGGTCTCCAGAAACAAAGTTCTGTTGTTTAAGCCACTGAGTTTGCAGCCATTTGTCATGACAGCTCTAGGAAGGTAACACAGAAAGGGTTTGGGGGCTCCACAGCCCTGCAGGTCTTCAATATCCGTGTCACCAGAAAATCAAGGCCTTGGGCGGGGAGGCGCTGTGTGAATCGAGGGAGCGCAGCCATCCACAGGATGGTACATTGGTCCTGTAGAGAACCTCAGGTGGCCACCTGTGGCCAGCAGGGGACCCCAGGCTGCGTGCAGGGGCCACCCCGGCCTCTTGTCCGTCACCTGCTGTCAACCATCAGGAATTGATCTGTGACTTGAGGCTGTAAAGGTGAATTCCTTTGCAAGACTTTGGCCTGTTAGTAGCTGTGCACTAATGCGGGGACTGGCTGGGAAGAAACGCGTGTAAATAATGAAACCACGGGTCAGAAGCACACACGCTCTGAGAGCAAATGGCCACACAGCAAGAGGTTTAGATGAGTGAAGCATGTCATGTCCGGCCACTGTCCTTGCCCTTTCCCCAAGAAAAGCTGTCACCTTGACATAGCTCCTGCCCTAACTGCCAGAGAGCTCTTGGCTTGGTGGCCTTTTCTTCTCCCGGTTGCCTTAGTGGCTGGCTGCTCTCAGGGGAGAGGCAGCCCCTCTGGGCCTCTTGCAGACTGAACTAAGCTTTGTCTCAGAGGAATCTTTCTTGGCCTGTAGGACACCCGTGATTGCTCACTGTTGCATTGTTTCTCTGCAGGAGAGCTGGGGCACCCTGTACAAATAACATCCTCCTTCCTCTCTCAAACAGGGGCCAGGGCCTCAGGACATTCTGCACCAAACTGAGTGTAGGGCTTTTAATAGCAGGGGAGCTGGAGCCTTCATGAGACCCTTGAAGCCATTTGGGGTCCTCGGGGGCAAGACTTGGAGCTTGGAGCCACACAGTGCAGGCAGGTGCCATCCAGGAAGCTGTTTTCCATTCCCCACCCCCAGCAAATCAGCTGCCTGCCTGCCTGGCCTGGCTAGAGTGCTGGCCTGCTCTCTCCACCTGGACTATCCCAGGTCACGCCATGGACCGCATCAGCAAAGACAGTGCTCAGTGCTAAGCCTCTCGGCTGCACCTGCCATCACCCTCGGGGATGTGGCCGTGGCCCCTGAACCTGACTCTGACTTATCCTGGGCCCCGGGCTTGCTCCAGGCTTCAGGCAGGAGTGAACTTAGATTCCTGAGAGGCCTCCCTGGCCCCCTCCCTCGACACCGCTCCTCATAGCTCTTGTCTCCTCGTGGTCACGAAGGGCTTCTTCATTTATTGTCTATACCTGGATGTTGTCAGGTGACATGGGGTCAGGTGCCACTCTGCCTGGTCCTGCTGGGCCTTGTGCTGATGCGTGAATCCCCTGTGAGCCTGGTGACCACCCTTCACCCTGTGTGCTGGCCTCCCTTTCACTCGATCTCCACGTCTCGACCCTTCCTCTTCCTCACCTGGAACTTTTTCATGTGGCTGACTCTTCTCACCCTCTGTCACCTAGAGAGCTTGCCAGGCATCTGGCTAAGATGAAGATGTCCCCCATAACAACAGGTCACAGGCATGGCAGAGGGCTTCCCTAGCACCTTCCGTCAGGGTGGAGAAACTTGTGTCCCCACCCTTGGACTTGGCTGGCTTTGGTCACTAGAACCTGACATGTGCGACTTGGGCCCCCCTGAGCAGTGCCCACTTGGCTGCTGCAGACCCTGGGGCTATTGGGGACAAGGTCACAAGAACCCATAGAGAAGGAGGGGCTGCATGGAGGAGGCTCAGGTGTCCCCATCGCCTGCTGATGGCAGGCACATGAGGCCCAGGGAAGCCACCGTATCCCTCCCAGCCCTAAGCACTGCCCCCACCCCCGCTGGCCCAGGTGTGGGCTGCAGTCTCCCTGAGGGATGCCTGTTGCCATCAGCCACGGGGCTTGGGTGGCTTGTCATGCAGCACCAGCTGGTCCCATTCCCCACCCACCTGGCCTCCTGCCCAGCCTCTCTGTCTCTCCCAGATACT